CTAGATGCTAGTAGCATATTCATTACAGTAGTGACCAAAAAAAAAAAAAAAAAAAAAGTCTCCAGATAGGACAAAACCATCCTCATTTGATAGAACTACTGATATGTAATATACCATCTTTATGTAAAATGAAAGAAAAATGAGAAGATATGCATTTATCTGCTTATATTTATTTACAAAAGGAAACACAGTAAACCAGAAACTAATAAAATCAGTTATCCATAGGAGATGGGAGGAACAAGGCAGAACGGGCAGGGGAGGGAGCAACCTCTCCAAGTATGCTTTCTATACAGTTTTTACTTTTAGAATCATGTTAAAGTGCTATTATTCAAAATGAATTAAACCAATAAGGATGAAGGGAGAAACCCTAAATCTGAATACAAACAGAAATAAAAGAACTGAACAGTTTATCAAATGAATACCACATGGAAGGGGAAGGTGGGACTGATCCAAGTAACTTTCAAATTTAGTTACACAATTTCAGTTGAAGACCAAAAGACCCACAAAGACATCTTAAATCTTATTTGTCAGGTTTCCTGTTGCTAGTGTGTATAGGTGTAGCAATTCTGAAACTATTTCATTTATGTTGTAGGACTGACCAAATAAGAACACGTTTTAATAATGTTAGGAGGTAGGGTTCTCACTGCGGAAGAAAAAGGATACAAATGTGGAACGTGGAAATGCAAGAAAAAACCTGTAATACTTAATTGGAATTAGAGTATCAGTATGAATTCACAATTTAAAAAAAAATCTGTTTCCTAGCTCTGTTTATATTTGGTGTATGCTGATATCCTTTGAGAAGGATACAACAGCATTTAGGTTAGACAGTGAGCTGAATTGTGGGGCTCAAAAGATATGCCCAAGTCCTAACCCCTGGTATTTGTGAATATTGCCCTTATTTGGAAAAAGGGTCTTTGCAGACGTAATTAAATTAAGGATCTAACGGCTATCCTGGATTAACCAGATGGGTCCCAAATCCAATAAGTGCCTTTAAAGAAGAGGAAAAACATAGTGAAGAGAGAGAGTCATGTGAAGACAGAGGCAGAGACTGGAGTTTGTGGTCACAGGCCAAGGAATGCCTGGCACCCCTAGAAGCTGGAAGAGGCAAGAAAAGATTCTTGCTTAGAGCTTCCAGAGGGAGGGGGACCCTGCCAATACCTTGATTTTAGGCTCCTGGCCTCTAGCACTGTGGGAAAATTAGTTTCTATTGTTTCAAACCACCACATTTTTGGTTACAACAGATGTTGGAAACTAATACAGGTAGTATTACTGAAAAAAAAAAGTGTAACCTAAATTGTATCATGAGGAAACTATTAGACAAACCCAAATTGAAGGACTTTACAAATAAACAGTAAGAACAACAGCATTCATGCACTCATTACAAATATCAGTGTCACAGAAAACAAAGAATGGCTGAGGAATTCTTTCAGATTAAAAGAAACTAGAGCAACACGGCAACAAAAATGCAATGTATGAAGCTGGATTGAGAAAAACAAATTATTATGAAGAATAGTATTATGACAGTTGGTCAGATTCGAATGTGGAAATTTGTTGGAGGAGGAAATTAAGAGCATCTGACTGTCAGTTGACCTGTGAGCTGGACCCAGGCAATTTGAGGCTCCTCACCCTCTCTCCTGGCCTTGGAATGCACGCTCAACCCACGGTCCCCACGGTTGGGAAGGCTTTTGGCTTTCCACTGTTGAGTGTAGTACTCAACTTGGCTGTAGGTTTGTCATATACAGCTTTTAATATGTAGAGATATGTTCTCTCTATACCCACTTTGGTAAGAGCTTTTATCATGAATGGTTGCCGAATTTTATCAAAGGCTTTTTCTGCATCTATGGAGATGCTTATGTGATTTTTGTCCTTTCTCTTGTTGGTGTGGTGTATCACATGGATTGATTTGTGTGTGTTAAACCATCCTTATGTCCCTGGAATGAATCCAACGTGATTGTAGCATATGATCTTTTTCATATGTCGTTGGATTCAGTTTGCTTATATTTCGTTGAGAATTTGTATCTATGTTCATCAAAGATATTGGCTTATAGTTTTCTTTTTTCTTAGTGTTTTTGTCTGGTTTTGGTTTCAAGGTGGCTTCATAGAATGAGTTTGGGAGTGTTCCCTCCTCTTCAATCTTTTGGAAGAGTTTGAGAAGGATTTGAAGACATATTTTCTATCATGTTAAGCATTCAAATAATGTGACTATCTTAAATTAATACCTGGTAATAATAACAGTAGCATAAAATAAGTGTTGACCACTAAGGCCAGTGAACAATTTTTCAGTCAGTAAGCTGAGACTACTTAGAAGAAGAAATACAAGGAAGTCTTAGGAATCAGTACTTTTTCTAACTTCCAAAGTGATGCCAGTTCCTAAGGTATAAACCCCAGGAATAATTCAGTCTACAGAACAGCCATGACACAACACATAATTGAGACTACAGTGATTAAAATACATCTGAACATTAATTTCAAAAGTGTTTCTACAGGATTCCACCATAAGACTTAATTGGCAATATATGATGAAATTATTTTTTATATGTACATTTCAGTGATGATGGTATAGAGTCGTGGTTGTGAGAATGGGTTTTGCAGAGATGGTTCTGGGCTGGAATCCTGATCTCACTATTTACTAGCAATGTGACCCAAATTCTGAGTTATAGTTACCTTTCTGTAAAGATACTTACTTTATTGCATTCGTTATAAGGACTAAATGAAGTAGTGGGTTTTTATAAAGCTTAAATGAAGCAGTGTAGTCAGAGCACTTAGTACTGTACAGGCACACAGTAAGTATTTAATAAACTATTATGAAAACAAAAATGTTCATTTCGACTTAGGTTTATGTTATCTATCTATGTGAAAAGGCAATATTTAAGAGTAGATGCAAAAGAATTTCTATTTAGCAAGCTAAGACATGTGTTGTTTTATATCCCATACTAAATTTTTATTATTCTCAAAATGATTAATAAATAATAACTACCTAATTATCTAGATTTTAGAGAATGTATTTTGGTAAGCACATAAGAAGGTTTCTCAAGTGTATCCAGAAGTATTTCTTTTAGTAACTGGAGCACCACTTAATTCATCAGAGCAATTTATGGGAACTTGAAGGTATCAATATGCACAAGGCTGTCAAATATTTTCTTTGTAAGAGGAATCTGGAGAAGCAAGACCTCGTCACTTCTTTAAAAGATTAATATTTATAATTTATTTATGCCTTCTGCAATCTGTCAATTCTGTTTGATAAATACATATGAAAATTTATCTCATAAGAATTCAATTATAATTAAATTTTGTTTTTGCAATGTTTAATTTCTTATTGAGTTTACAAGCCTAATAATATGTGGAATATGCATTCTTGAAATTAAAAAAGTAAAAACAAAACATCATTCTTAACCACTAAGTTATTTTTTTTAATTTAGTCAGGATAAGATTTAAATAAAATGCCAGACAATAAACATTTATGACACTAAATGAAGAACTGCAAATGTGTCTACATCATTCATTTGAGTTACTGTTACTCAAAGTGACTTAATAAAGCATGAAAGGTGCTACTTTGAAAATTTATATGAAGAGAATGCTGATGAAATTATACAAAAAATATTTCATAGAATGATATATTCATTAAGGAACCAATAAACAGTGCTTTATTAAAGTTCCATTTTCTCTCAATTATTATTTTGTGATCATGTGAAATGGTAAAAATAACACATTTTATATGTATTTAT